CCATGACACGTATGCTGTGTAAACCGTGTGACTTACATTTTTGTTTGAAATGATTTATTTGGATTATCCTTAACCTCCTTCCTGCTTATAAATGTTCATAATAAATATGCACAATTTAAAATCAAACAAACAAACAAACAAAAAAACAACCCTCATCTTTCAATACCATTAATTAGAACACGGGTACACCAAGCCGAAAGTTGAATACGGTGAGGTATCTCTGATATAAATGCCTCCAGTTGTTTCTCTTCACAAAGCATCTGCCTCTCTAGGGTGAACCTTGAAGAGGCCCCTCCTTATCACACAATTGGATACTTCTCAATTTTCCTACCCAAGATGGAGCCCAGATGGCTGGCACTTAGTTTACTTGTGATAGACAATATAATATCTTAATATAAATTTCCTTTTCAAGAAAGTTGTATTATAGTACAAGTTAAAATTTTGTTGACATGAAAAAGCATGATTGTGATTTATGATCATTTTCAAAAATGATAGGGAAATTATGTATTTTATATACTAATTTTTAAAATACATACTACTTTTTAATGTTTTATCATTTCTAGGCCTCTAGTAAGGGGGAAAAATTACCAACTTCTCTTTTAAATTTTTTGTGACTTCTTCAAACATCTGGGGGATGGAGTCTGTTTCCAAAAGAGCTTAAATTATGAATTCAACGCCATGTTTGAAACCTTCAAACAGGAAGGTTTTATATAATGAAAAATATACAGGACAGTTAAGGCCATTAGCATTTTTCTCATACCCCTAATAATCTCTTCTATAAAGGAACATCTCATAAAGACTTTAAGATTTAATTTTATTGAGCAGTTCTTTCCTTATGGAAATGGAGAAACCTGGCATATCATTTTGTACATACTGGGCTTTTCCTCTTCATCCCCACTTAAAGATTAGCTCAAGTTTCAAATTTTCCTTTATCAGTCAAACCCCATTTTAAAGTCTTTACAGAAGTGAAGATCATTTTCCTTATGATACATGTGTCCAAAATTAATTCTGACCACTTGATCCAAAGCTTGCCAGATCCTCCTGAATTTAAAAACAAAGCAATATAAAACTGTGATTTAACTTAATATAAAAAGTTTACTGAAAAGTGCACTTTGAAAACTGATCACTGGGGACAAAAGAGTTCCTAAACGTTCCTAAGAGTGACAGCTCTTATTTCCAGGGAATTCTGAAGTTCCAAGGACCCCAATAAGGATGAGGGTGAGACTGTCACTAAAGGGTCAAACCAGATCAGGGATGGAGAGAAATTCCACCAAGGTTTGAAGTAGAATGACTGCAATTCTGAGTTTCTGGTAAAATATATGTATTTTTGAAACATTCTAAATTTGAAGAAGTTCAAGGTTTTGTGTGGTTATATATTTATTGAGGAGCACAATGTTTCAGAAAGAAAAATCTCTTTGCATTTATCTTCCTGTGCGTTTGATGAGAGTACTTTAAAATGTTACAGTATGAGATTATTCTTCTTACTTTTTAGATTTTAATACCTTTCATGTTAATTTACATTAAGAAACCTGGATCATTTTTCCAAATAAATGGTATATATTACCATTTATATATAGCAGTTTGGTATATATTTCCCTCTGCAATTAGACCTTACATGAATTCAATATTTATGATTATTAAGTTATATAAAGCAGAGACATTTACTGGAAAGTACAGTAAGCTTGTAAAATATTAATTTTAAGATGAGCTCTGTCTAAAATATAAAAGCAAGATGTGGAAATCTAACAAAACAGGAAGCTCACATGTAGACGTGAGGGCTTAGGCATGCAAAACAAACTCTGGCATTAATGAGACAAAGCAATACTAAAGTCTTGGAGAGAGAAGGGCTACAAGGAAAAGAGCAACATACTGAAACCTGAAGAGAGGATACGAAATATTGTGTAGGAATAAGCAGGGCTCTCGTAGGCAGTTAGATAGTTGTCATTTCACATAGCCTTTGCGCACACACACACACACACACACATCACTCTAGCCTTCATTACAGGCCACGCCACTGTCTCCTTCCTTCAGCTGGTGCCTGTAGGCCCCTGCAGCAGGCTTCTCCACTATCCTGTCCTCTGCCATGCTTTTAAAGTGGCTGAGGTCTCTAGATGCAGTGTACAGTACACACACACACTCATGGACCCAGCCAGATCCAAAGCATGATATCGGCATGATGTTTTCTCTCTCCTACGGATGCTGCAGTGTTTTTCTAAACAGGGCAAGACAATCCTCAGGCTCCTGATTTCCCATGATGACCCAGCCCTACAGAGGGCAAAGAAGCCCGGCCTGTCCATCAGAGTCATGTCATGAATAATATCTGATCATGGCATGTTACAGTTGAAATTTTCTTTGTTTTATCTAAGAAAGGGAGAGGGCCCATTTCAAAAAGGGGGGGGAGTGAGTTGACACAACAGATTGTGACAGATTTATTACTATTTATCATGGTAAATATGTATCGAAGAAAACATGTAAATGTCTTTAGTCATAATCACTCCAAAAGAAACCTTTCATTATCTCCAATCTTTTATTATCTGATACACAAATACTTGTACATAGTAAAGCAAGTTTTGTAAGTATTTCTTATAGGATAATCATGATTTTATTTGTGTTTAAAAGATGGGGAAGTGTCGCAGAGGTCTAGAAATACAGTACTACTGGGGTAAGTAGGTTATGGTGTCTAATATGGGTATCTCCTTGGATCAAATTGAAATATAATTTTGTGCTGTGGTAAAACACGTAGATTTCATTGTAAGTAACAAGCAGTAATACATAAAAATGGTAATATAAACAATGTGTACTGCTCTTAAAACACAGTTGAGGCATTTTTAAAGTAATTTCATGATCATAAATTGACGGTTAGATTCTAAAATTATCCAAACAATCTTATTCTTACCCCAAAAAACTCAAAGCAAAATAAAGCAGAGTAAGAAGGATAAAACTTCCATTTATAATTGAACAGTTATCCTCCTCATTTTTAGAAATTAGTTATTTATCAAAATGTTCTATAAGGAAAATTAAAACATTTAGCCATGATAAATTACCTAAGGATTATCTAAGAAATCCCAAACTAATCAATAAAAGCTAAAAATTAAATACTAAAAACTAAGGTTCCAATTTCTCAGTTTTTTATTTACTGGGAATAAAGGAAGGGTATTTTTAGATTCAGAGCACACCACGACATACCAGTAACAAATCAATGGTCATAACAGCAAAGATACAGCTACAGCAGTAAAACTTCCCATATAACCAGCTAGCTATAAGGAAGTAGTCTAGAATTTATAAGAATGATGAGAAATTGTTGTTGACAATGATTAAGCATACCAGTCATATCTAATGACATGCCAACGCATTATTAAGAAATTACATAGATTTCTGCATCATTTTAGGTTAGAAAAAACAAAGTTTATTTCATTATGAGGCATAAAGTACCATAGCTTGAAGTTTTTTCATGTTTTTATAATAGAAAGAGAGCTAGTCTATCATTTCAGAACATCCAAAGGTCCACTTGTACTTAATATTGTGTGCATTAAGTACAGGTGTGTTTAAATGTAAACAGCTGTGAGAACGATATCATTGGAAGTTGTCATAAAAGCTATTAAAAGCTAAAGTTTCATCTAAATTAAATCTACCACTAACTGTAAGCTTAAAATTTGCTTATAAAAATCTAAGGGGATTTAGTCAATTTCAATATGACATAGAATATGCAAAGAATAAAATAGTACATTTTCAAGTGACTTTTATTTTTTTGGTAGTCCAAAGTTTTATGCGCTATTGGCAGTTTTATTTGCACGATACTTTTATGTGTTTATGAATAATTTTGTGATGCTTCTCCCATATCACCAAGCCTATGATAATCAGAATGCAAAATTCGGGTTTCTTTCCCCCCGATAAAGCTCATTCTGATACAGTCACTTAATAATTTTTTTGGATTAGCTGACAAGTCAAAGACACAGGTGTTTGGGCAAAACCCATTATTCTTCTATATCAATAAGAACAACAACAACAACAACAAAAACACTGAAATAAAACTAATACAGAAGCATCAATTCATAATATTTTGGGAAATATAATTTTATTTTGAAACATAAGGACTTATAATAAGGCTGATTAGTATTCTTTTCAAAGAATATTAATACCCTGCCAAACACTGAATTAAATATATCTACATCTATAACTCACAGGAAAGAAGACAGGAAACAAATAAGGAAGGAGGAGAAGCAAGGAAGGAAGGGAAGAAAATATATTTTTATTCTACGTAAGGATAAAATTAGTAGAAACAGCTGAGCCCTAAACAAAACTAATAAATAAAATTATCTAGGAATGCAAATTTGAAAATAAATATAAGAATTCAACACAAACATAAGACACCATGCATGCAGTTGTGATTGCAACCAAGTTGTGTTATGGGGGGTACCTCAGTCATTTCAGCTATAAAGAGACCCAGAATGCTTTTGTTTACAGTTGGCTTCTTCCAGTTGTCACCTGGTATTAAAGACACACACAGCTACTGATGCAGCTACCTTTGCAGTTTTATCCAGCAACCTCTCTAGAAAATAGAGACATTCTTCCTGCACTCTGGGCTGAAACGCATGTAAATTTTTCTTAAATCCTCTCCACAAATCTCCTTTCGCATGCAAATCCATAAATCACCATAATACTGACAAAGAATTTAACCAACACATGAAACTAATACTCATTCTCTTGAAAACCCTGTACAGGTACAACTCCTTGAACTTCAGGCACCTTTTCAAGGCCCTCTTCAGAGCTCAACCTGCTGAATATCAACATCACCGCGCAGTTTTCCGGCATGTGCAATTCATCACCGCGAGGTGGGTCAGGTGGCTGGGCCTGCAGGTTACTCCTAGCTCACCCAGAGCCCAGATCAGCGCGCTGCCGTGGGAGCAGGGAGCCTCACTCACTCCTCTCTCTCCCCTTGGCCATCAATACAAAGCAGAACCAAACAAACCAAATTCAGAACAGAAACGAGCAGTACTTACTGAAGAGGGCAGACCTGGAGGGACTTTCCGAACTTTCTTTGTCTGCACCTCTGAAAGACAAGGAAGCACTCCGTGAGCTCTTCACAGGCCCATTTTCTAACGAAAACGCACTCAACCACGAAGGCATTGAGATTAGGCTTTTTCAAAAAAAGAGAAAAAACCTAGCAAAATGTAGTTACCACTATCCCCCTTTTTTTCCTCAGGCACAATTCAAATACTGCTTTGTTAAATATGACACCTTCAACTTTTTAATGAATTGTGTTCTTTTTTGTTTGTTTGTTTAAGATTCTTTATGTATACAGCCTAGAGAAACTAAGAAGTAAGCCTACAGACAAACACTTCTGCTGCTCTAGGTGCAACCTACTCCCACCATGGACTACTGGGGAAAGTCAGCAGAGGACGACCACTCAGCAGAATGTTATGGGATTTTCAGGGGTGGGGTGGGGCTGGAGAGCCGGGGGGAGGGCGGCATTAATGAAAAAGAAAAGGACTAGCAGGAGTTACCCGGATGTTCAGAGAACCCCTTACTTACCCATGGCACTACTGTGAAGAGGCCTCCTCCGGGGGTTATTGCTAGAATACTGATAGTACTGGGAACCAGGCTTGGTGGGCGAAAGGGTTCCTGGGTTGCCCATATCCATGTCACCTCCAAGGAGACTCTGCTGAAAGGTTCAGAAGGGAAGACAAACATACATGGTTAAATTTTTGCACTCACCACCCCCTAACTAATTGTTAGTCCTATGCAATAAGGAACACACGGCATCTGCTAAAGGGAAAGAATTAAAACAAAGCAAAAAAGAAAAAGCAGTCTAAGAATAAGAAGCTCCCTCCAAGTTTCTGAATTTCCAATTCCTTAGTTTTGTGAGTGCTGGAATCCTTTAACCAATATTTTCCAAAATCTTTTCAGAGGACTAACATTTTCGTTTGATAAGCAAATGGCATTTACATAAGACTAGTGTTTTCTCTCTCTAGACACAGGCTTGTATCTGTGAACAACTCCTACCCTTCCTCAGCGAGACCCAGGAAGAAGCTCATGTTTCCAGCACACAAAACTTCCCGGCTTCTCCCACTAGGGGTGAGGTGGACACAGCCCTTCCTCTGAGCTGTCCCGGTACAGCATGATCCGCCACAAATGGACCAGAAGATCAAATGCCAACTGAACCAAGAGCAAAGGCAAATGCTCGCATTATCGTCCACAATTTTACAAGGAGTAGGTAGCATCCCATCCTAAGCTAAAGGCATAAATTAAAGGACTTTAGAGGACTTCGGAAGCTAAAATACATTCCCACAGATTAAGCATTTCCCTGAACTCTAGAAAACTTCCCCAAATACCATTAACATATCACAGTGTGTCAAACTACTAAACTTGCCAATATACTGACAAAAGAAAGATTACACAATAATATTACATTCTCTAAAAGCTACACAGAAACTTACCCACAAAATATAAATCGCCTGATTATACTCTGCTTTGAACACATTGTTCTTTGACTTATTCTGGTATGTAATAAAACAAGTGTAGATACTACCATTTATATTAAGAACAAATTTACAATTTAATAAAGAAATTTTAAAATTAAGTACTAAAAATCTAACTTTATCGTTACTTGTAATCAACTTTTACTGACTGAACTAATTACTGTCCTTGATAAAGTACAGAATGTGTTTTCCCTAATCTAAATTCTAATCACCATGTCACTCACAACAGACTTAGGGATGCTTCACTAACACACTATTCACATGCAAAATACTCTAAATAGGCCAATTATGACTCTGCCCCTGTTCCCTGGTTAACCCGCTGAGAACTGAAAAATTTCACAAGGCAGTCACCAACTAAAACAAAGGGTCCTTGTTTTAAATTAAGACAGTCTTTTTGATTCCTAAATAGCTCAACAAAGTGGCATGTCTTCTGGTGAAAGCAGTTGGTCAAATATGACCCATAAGCTGGAAAATCAAAAATTAAAACCTCCCCTTTCAATCGCCATATAGCTAAATATCATAAAGGGAACCTCTCATTTCCAAGAGATCTTTTGAGTGTTGGATGAGTAACTCGTAAAGAACTAGTCAGCTACTGACGAGCTCCCTTTCCTGATTCCGTTGAAGACTTTTCCAAGGGGTACACAGCAAACAGTACTTTAAAATAAAACTTCCAGCGTGCCATTCTAGGTTGAAGGTACATTGTGGGTAAAAAAAAGTCATTGCTGGTATCTTAATATTTACCTCATGGCTGATAAAAACTTGTTATCTCTATACTCAACAACTGCTTTTTAAAAAAAGGTATCAAAATGCTATGCAATGATAAACTGAAATACAGAGTCCTTTATAAGCAAGTTTTCTATATAAATCAGGAACCCGGAGGTTTAACAGCAAATGATTGCTTCAGCATTTGAGGAGTGGTGTTCAAAAATTTTAGAATCTCAACCTAAAATTCCATTCTTCGTAATTCTTAGTAATAAAGTCTGTACTTCTTGAAGTCCAAGGTTTCTTTGAAATTTCCCTCCATAAGCTTGTGATGTATTTTCAAGCCACAACCTTCTTAGAGTTTGGTAACATCTACAAATGAGATTTTACTTCATGTAAAAGAGAGTGAAAATGATAGTCTTAAGAACTCTGTGTTATAGAGAGATAGTATCCTTATTTCTTAATTTCTCTTTTTTAAAAGATATATAAAATATTCAGGGAAGGACAGAGCAAATATACCGCAATACTTGCTTGTCATTTTAATGAGCTTAACCACTGGTTAATTCTTACTGGTCTTGGTGGCAAAGGTTTTCACCCCAAGAAAGTGGATGTTGTTAATAGGTCTACATTGAAACAAACATAGTTAGTATACTGTGTGCTTGGTGCGTTCACAACAGAGTGTGTATATATATGTATAATAAACACACATGTTAGTGTACATATATGTGTATCTATTATCTGTATATAATATTATATGCATATAATACACACAAACATACACACACATACATATATATAAAATGATAATTAGAAGATAGCTAACTGGCCGTGGCCAACCTTATTGTCAATTTAGAAGAAAATCATTTCATGGGCCAACTGTAAATAAATCATGTATTTAACTTATACATGTGTGGTCACATTAACTATGTCCAGTGACATGGTACTGAGACCAGATAGCACTTAGAAGTACTCAGTGGCTCCTGTTAATTTTTCTTTTTTGAAAAATAAAGTATATTCCTATTTTTCTCTTTTTTTAGACCTATTTGTTCCCTTTTCTTTTTCAAGAGGATAACACAATCATTCTTCTAATGCAACAAAAATAAGCATTTCCTCACACTTAGAGGGGCCCTAATCACCCCACTAGGGAAAATGAAGATAAAAATACATGAGCTCTCACTGTAGAGTGTACTGTTAGAATGAACAATGACCATTTACTATTGTTTGGCCTTTACGTCACGTACTTAACTCTCTGTAGCAATGAGAAGATAGACAAAGTGTTTTATACTGACTGAAAAATGGTTAAGTTTGTGAATCTAGAAGATTCCTGGGCTTCAGTTTAGTACCTCACAAAACGGACAAGGCATTCACTTCTACAGGGATTTACCTACATGTGAGTCTAGCTCTGAAGACACACTTAGGCTCCAGAAAAGTGAAGTTTGAAAGCTAAGTCTACTTTCAGAGTGGGCAAAGGCATCCCAGCCTGAAAACAGGATTAGAGTGGTTTTAGGGCTTTCACATTGTGCAAGTTCACGCTCTGCGGTTATTCTGGGTCCCAGTAGTAAGCGGCCGCAGTCGGCCAGGAAGCACTGGAAACAAGATGTGAGGGACTTCGCAGAGCGAACTGTAAATCTTCAACCCAGAGTTCAGCATTTTGCATAACTGTCTGCAGTGTAATGAGAGGAGGCCTTCCCCTTACTCCTTACTTTCTTTGAAGGGAAAACAATTTTAAGACTTAAATGCCCTAACCAAAGAGGAGCATATGTTGACTTTGTCCACTAGGGCTAAGCGGACTGGGGACCCCCCGCCCGTGGAACCAATTCTCCAGCAAAGAGCCAGTCCTGCTACCGCCACTCAAGAGCCAGAGGCAGGCATTCTATGAGGGTCTCTTTCAGTGCAGATTTTTGTTTGTTTTTCATCAAATCTGGGTCTCAGACTGTCTTTCTACCACATTCTCAACCCTGCCCCGACTCATTGTGGTGCTGGTGGTGGTGGGGGGAGCTTTTTAAAAACCCTTGATCAACCACTGAACTCTGCTTATGCAACCCAGCCTGCAAAACCATGAATTAAGTTGGAGTAACAGAAAAGCAGCATATCTCTCAAATTAGATTTATAACTGAATGGTAATCAAAAATAGAACTAACTGCTTCAAGCTTAAATTATCAACTTTTTTCTTGTTAAACTAAAATCATCTTGCTCGGAACTATTATTTCATTTCAGTCAGCATTTTAAATGTAATGGGTGGGTGGTACATTTCTAAAAGGGAAGATTATATTTACCCTTAATTATAGATATGACTGAGATCAGAGGATGAGGGTTGCTGCTTCTTTGGCTTATAATTAATTCAACTAATAGGTGAATGACCTTGAATTTCAGAGATGAAACCTGGGAGAGGAGGGGGAAAAAAGAGGTAGAAGAAAAAAATCTCTGGGGAAAAGTAGAAGGGCCCCTGGTTTCTGAGGGCTCTCTCTTGATTTTGCATCAGCCCCATTACCTTGCGATCTGATATCAGACACAACATCTTGGGGGATGTTGTAGAACAGAGAAAAGCCGTCTCAGATGCAACCAGATTAAGCTCCTTCTCTGAACTATTGCCAAATGCTTGCGAGTCTAATTCATGTTTGGGTATTCTAGTACTCACACAGCTGCAATTCCATTCTTTCATCACAAACCTAAGTGATGTATAGTGGCTTTGTATGGCGACCTGACTCTGTAAAGGCAGGAATTTTGGAAGGCTTTACATTAATATGGAATTAAATTCTGAACCACTATAAAACTTAGGAATGCTGGCTATAGGGGCTGCTACCCTAATAGACTTTGCAGTGTGAAGGGCAAAATGCACATGGACAAAAATTACAAATTAGATTTGTTTAAAACACTTTTTATCACAACTGAGGTCATTTCTGCAGAGTTAATTCTGCACAGAACCGAGTTTTCAAAAACACTGCTGAATAAGATTGCTAACAGCCATGGGGAAGTTTCTGCAAATCCCCACCGAATAGCTGCTGCTGAATTTGCCATTTTGACCACAGAAGGGCCATTGCTGACTGACTGTAGTAGCAGGGGGGGCGATAATTTTGCTGCTGTTGGCACTTACTCCGCAATCTAGACTGTATCTTGCACCAAAGGGCAATGACAAACACACTATTTCCACCTGTCTACTTTTGAACTCCCACGCTCAACAATGAAGGTCAGTCTTTGGACAGTCTTCATTCCTGGTACCTACAGGGGCAGGAACGTACCTTCATGGTTTATTTTGATTTTTGTCCTATGCTTGGACTCTTGGTTTCAACAAAAAAGAATTCGGGAAACTGGGAAAGCCAAGATGGCAAGCATAGCGTCCAGGATATGATGAGGGACTTCACAGATCATTATCATGCTGCAGACAAGTACAAATTATCAGAATGAACATGTAGCAAATATTTTAAAGGCTTCTGGTCAAGGTTTTTGACCACTTTCAATGTCTAATGCACATCTGTTTGCA